CTCTCTCTCTGTGTATCGCTCGCCTTCTCTTTCTCTTTGTTTGTCTCAGTCTTTCTTTCTCCCCCACCTACTTTCCCACTCTATCTTTCTCTTGTTCCCTCCTGTCAACTGGGGCATGTTATATTTGCTAGCACTTCCTCCTCTTCTCTACCCCCTCCTCTCTCTCTCTCTCACACACACATACACAAACACACAATCTCTCTCTCTACCGGGTCAGGGTCTGGGCACTGAAACTTTCCGAAATCACAAAAGATTTCCCCAACGGGATCTGTATACTTCGGGACTTTGTTCCCGGTTACCGGGTCTTCGTTTGCAGTTAGGTTGCATCCCTGTTCTTTGAGTTGCCTTTTTGGTCATCACAAGACTTCCCGATTTCTTCTCTGGATGTAAACAAATAGATCATGGACTTTAAAGAATGTAGAGTGTAGAGATCTAAATCTAAGATCTAACTGTTCTAAATCTAGATCTAGATCAACAAGATCACCCGTCGCTTTTTCGGCAGTACCCACCCCGCAATTGTTATTCGCAGGTTTTGGCCCCAAGAGTAGGGGGGTTTCAGGGGGCGGGGGGCTTGCCCTGACCTATAAATATATAAAAATACGGAGTGTCTACGTACACGGTAACCAGGCGCGTAGCCTCAGGGTCTACGTACACGGTAACCGGGCACGTAGTCTTAGGGTCTACGTACATGGTAACCGGAAGGTTCAAGAGATAGTTCACTCAGCCAAAAACAGTGTCACTATTATTGTTTTTCACACAAGTAGGGTAGATTCTTACTCTGTTCGCAAAGTTCGCGCTTTTTCAAAAAGGCGCACTAGGGTCAACCGCTCTATAGTCCAGCATGATACCCACTAAATTTCATAACAAAGCATCCCGTAAGCCTTTACTTTCACTTTCGTTACCATCAAGAAATTTGTCAGTAATTGTCTTATAACGCAACAATTATTGTAACATGCAGGTTCGGCATTACAAATGTGGTGTCGCCATGAAAGTAAATCAATATATCTGTCACTGTGTCGTCCCTTATAGGGGCAACATGAAGAAAATATACAAGCGTCTTGTTGGGTTCGCCATTGTGGCCGGTCAATGAACCTGCGCGTGTTCTGAGCGCTGCGAAGTACAGGACTCAGGAATGGGGGGGGGGATTATTGGGTTTTTTTTAAGACGCACTCGGGTATAGGGGGAGGGCTGGACGCAACACCAGTGGACAAAAAAAAACTGAAACTGGAAGCAAATATGTTTAATGTTTAGAATTTTGATAACTACTACAGCTCTCTGCTAAGTAAAGTGTGCGTGGGAGCAGGCCTTGTGTGAAAACGGCCTAAGTGTTCCCGTTTCATTGGATTGGTGGCAGTATATTTTAGCTTTCACTTTCTGTACAAGACTTGCAGATTTTCAGTATCACTGCATCTTGCCCTCCCACAGTTCTTACACCTCTCACACTGAATAGGTCTACTTGGGCTATTCTACTGTACTTTGAGTTAGAGCATTAATTTTTGTCTTTCACGTTTATTATATAGGCCTATATATATATGATATGAATCATGACAGTCGATATTACGGTTCTAGGCTCAAAGCAAGAATCATTTTTATATAGTTTATATACAGGCGAATATGATGAAGGGAAAATATTAAGTCGCACAAGACCCCAGGCGCCACAATTTTCTGTAAATAATCAAGATTGTAAATTTGGTGCGTGACTCTGACTTGAAATTATCTCCCAAACCCTCAAATTGGTGTGAAATAACCTTGCTTTGATAAATTGATGGTTTTCATTTCAGTATTCTAGGGTTCAACAGTATAATAATAATGGGTGTTTCGCGAAAATGGGCTTCTGTGGCGATCACCCGAAAAGTTCCTCCTTTTTTAGAATTCTGAGTTGAGACCCATGTGATTTAAATAAGATGAAATTGGTTTTCAAAATGCTGTGATGTCATACCCTTTGGTGCAGAAAAGCAAGCATTAGATCAAATACTATAGCCTTTGGGTGTTGACCATACCTAAAGATGTACTTTTCCATGTTTGATTTTGACTGTCTTCTCTAATTTTAATATGTCCTAGGTCATTCATTTTGTATTTGCTCTTTTAGCTGTCATATTGTTTTATCCAATGTGTATGTTGTGTGATTTGTGTGTGTTTAGAGACAGAGAGAATATCGTTGTGAGGCTATGGAGATTCATGTTTATAATGTAACTACATATGTACAAAGTCATAGTCAAGACTACTTCTGACAAACTCAACGGATAAAGCTATCCTCATATCGTTTTATCCAATGTCCAATGTGTATGTTGTATGATTTGTGTGTGTGTAACATGCTAAGTATTAAATATATTTAGAGGCTATTCACACGTGTAGATGCATGATGTGCGTGTGTGTGTGTGTGTGTGCATCTCTCTCTCTCTGTGTTTATGTATTTTTGTGTGTGATTGTAAGTGTGGTGTGTGTAAAGATAGTATTAATGGGTGGCTGGTGGGTGCTCTGGTGTGGTCTGCTCCTTCTCTCCTATTCAACATCTATCATCCTTATCTTTCTCTTCCTTCTTTTTGTGTTTGTTACTCTCTTGTAACACTATCACCGCTTATCTTCAGCAAAGCTTATTTTGTTGCAAGTGCTAACTCTTTCGAAAACAAAAGATAGTTTTAGATATGAACAGGGCGCTTTGGCTGCAAGCGTAAGTGTATGCGTGGTACCAAAGCTCGATATACTTTCGCTTTCTTTACCTCCCAGAAATTTGCCGGTAGCAGTCTGATTAACACAACATTTGTAACATACAGGTTGTGCATACAAACGCTGTGTCGGCAGGAAAATAAATCATTGCTGTGCTTTCACTTGCGGAAAAAAAGAAAGTTATATTTATAAGCGTCTTGTCGGGCTCGACATCGTGACCGGTCAGTAAACCTGTACTTTCGCATCACATTGTGAGTACCAGTGATCGTTGGGGTCACCAAAGTTCATTCAATGTGTGCGCTGCGCGAAGTATAGGGCTCCGGAATAGGGGGACTATCGATTTTTTTAAAAGGTACAGTCGGGGGAGGGGTGGGGTTGAAGGCAACATCGGATGACAAAAACTGAACTTGGAAGCAAATTTTAGTATCTAGAATTTTGATTATTACAAGAGCTTCCTGCTACGGAAAAGCGTGCATTGGAGCAAGCCCTGTACAGAATTGGGATCCGTCATACTCATACATGCTAGTAAGCCGTGTTTTTTAACCAAAAGGTCCGCGTTTCATTGGATGGGCGATAGTCAAGGATCCCCTTGTTTCATTGTCCTTTGTTTTAAAGAGAGGTATGACCTCATCAAGAACATACGTTTTTAATTCGGTCTCTCTCTCTCTCTCACTCGATCACTCTCTCTCTCTCTCTTCCTTCCTCTCTCTCCCTCTCCCACTCTCTGTTTTCTGAGTCTCGTTTTCTCTCTCTCGTGATATTATTACATGTTTTGTAAACATCTATATTTTAGCTTTCTGTTCCAGATTCGCAGATTTTCAGTGTCACTTCATTTTGCTCTCCCTTAGAAAAGATGACAGGTGGTAGATAGGGGTCATTTTTTTATTTACATTCCGCTCACAACACACAAAAAGCGGAGTGAAAAAGGAAAAAGGTCAAGGTCATGAAGGGAGTGAAGCAGTTACCGTGTACCTAGCTCAAGCCCCCCCCGAAACAAAACACCCGGTTACCGTTTGTGACATTGAGACTACACGCCCGGTTATCGTGTACGTAGATAATGAGGCTACGTGCCCGGTTACCGTGTATGTGACATTGAGACAACACGGTGAAAAAGGAAAAAAGTCAACGTCAAGAAGGGAGCAAAGCAGTTACCGTGCGTGCACCTAGCTCAAGCCCCCTTCCGCACCCCCACCCCCCTCACCCCCCCGAAAGCGTACAATTTTGTCTGTGGGCAGTGGAGAGAGAGAGAGAGAGAGAGAGAGAGAGAGAGAGAGAGAGAGAGAGAGAGAGAGAGAGAGAGAGAGAGAGAGAAAGAGAGAGAGAGAGGAGTAGCACGAGAACTTCCGGTCAAAACAAAATGGCGACCCGCGTAGTTCGGCTCGATTCGAAAAGTTAAATAGCCGTAGCATCTTTGTAGACAACCAAATTAATTTACTTTTGTGTTTTAACATCTTTTTTAAACTTTGTTTTGGTCAATTTGATCGTCCACACCGATAGACAGTGTTCAGAAAGAGACAGAGAGAGAGAGAGAGGGGAGGAGTAGATCTTGTGAGAACTTCCGGGCAAAACAAAATGGCGACCCGCTTAGTTCGACTCGATTCGAACAGTGAAATAGCCATAGCATCTTTGAAGACGATCAAATTAGCTTACTTTTGTGCTATAACGTAATTTTTTCTTGGCTTTTATGAATTTGATCATCCACACCGATAGACAGCATTCCAAAATGAGGAAAAGCAGGTCTTGTTTCGCACCGGGCGAGAATAGCCTACGCTGGCAAGTCTCACCCGGGGTGAGAGGTAGATTGTTTTTCTATTCTCACCCCGGATGAGAATAGCCACTTCCCCCACGAAACTAAATACCCACTTACCGTGTTCGTAGATAATGAGAGGCGCCCGGTTGCCGTGTACGTAGATATTGAGGCTACGCGCCCGGTTACCATGTACGTGACATTGAGACTACACGCCCGGTTGCCGGTTACCGTGTACGTAGATATTGAGGCTACGCGCCCGGTTACCGTGTACGTAGACACTGAGGCTACCATACGTGCCCGGTTACCGTGTACGTTGACCCTGAGGCTACGTGCCCGGTTACCGTGTACGTAGACACTCCCATAAAAATAAGATAGCCCCCCCCCCCCCTGATTTTTTTACCATAATTTGATGTTCATGATGTTTTGCAGTTGCTATTGCTAGATTAGGTTTGATATCTTATTCTTAGCCTTAAGAAGTAGCTCCCCGCTCATCAAACGTATAGATCTAGATTCTAGATGTAGATCTAGACCTAGGCTCAAATAAGGGGGGTGGGAACTACCGAAAAAGCACCCATCAACCTACCTTCTTCGCTCTAGCCTAGTCCAAGCAGGCTGACCATGACTATGACCACGGAGTCTGAGAATTGATTTGAAGCGAGTGAGAGGAGAGCGCACTGAACTCGAGGTCGAGGTAGATCTAGATCTAGGCCTACCACTAGTAGACCAGGTCAGTCTAGATCTAGTTAGATCTAGGGTCTATTGTACTGTAGTAGAAATCATAACGAAGCATATGTGTACACTTTCAGTTTCAGGGTACAGTGTAGGCATCTACAATCTTCAATCTATATTCTAAATCTAGATCTCTAGTCTTTTTTGCATGTGTTTATCGAAACAGTGTACTGTCTTTGCATCAGTAGGTCCATAGCACATTTATCGTGTATTGTGGTCTGTGAAAATCTGGAACATCGATTTATTCTCACCATTGCCAGAAAAACTCTAGGCTACTACTGCTACTGAAAACAGAATTAGCCTAATGATGATGACTGTTAGGTAGGCCTGGGTCGCCTATCATCTAGTATCATTATGACGATGATAGAAATTTAAAATATGACAATTAGAATATAACACTGTTATCATTTATAATGAATAGAAGGCTGTAGTAATAAAAAATTGCAATAATGTATATATACGACAATAACAACGAAAGCCTAATAATAATAAAATGATAATAATAATAATAATTGGTATAATAATAATAATAATAATAATAATAATAATAATAATAATAATAATGATAATAATAATAATAATAACAATACCAAGAATTAGATTCGTTTAAAGGTCATGGAGTGACTTATTGCACATTTGGTCCACGCTGTCTTAAACAAATTTGAGCACCTGCCAATATTAATCAATCTATCATTATGTGCATGGGGAAGTTGTTAAAATTTAGCCTTCGTAAAGAATGCATAATGAGTGAAGAATGATGGAGAATGAAAAAGGTTAAGGAAAGTGGGTGGGATAAATCTATGGTTCGTAGTGAAACCACTAAACCGTAAGGTCGGCATACCGACCGTAATTGTATGTTGTTTTGTTGTTGGTTTGTTGTTGTTGTTGTTTTGGATCAACCCGAGAGGTAAAATGCCTTTACGATATTTTCAGAGTTTAGCCTAGCTATCATTTTGTTTCCTAAGAACTAATCAGATGTATGATGGCTGTTCTACTGAAAACTGTAATCTGTGCGCTCCATTTCTTCTTGTTGAATTAAAACCTTGATTTATATGGTCGAGGCAGTTGAGTCTAGCCATAGATGTGCTCTATAGGCACTTCCTTTAAATTAAAAAGTCAAGGTTTGAAAGGGGGTATATCAATGAGTCTAGCCCACAGGAATTCTACTATGTGTTGAATTCTGTTGTCTAGCCGAGTTGTTTTCAAATGTTTCATCCAACCCAAGGAGCTTAGAACTACTTTTAATCTCCTTGATCCAACCACAGAATTCTGTGCATCCAACTCGAAACTGATCTGGCAACCATAACATATAGCCCTGTGCGCAAGCTCGAGAAAAACGGAAGTACACTACGTGCCGACAAATCTCCGATGCTATGGCTATTTCCGGTTGATACAACTAACACAAATTTTAGGTTCCAACGTGGCTAATTTTGAAATGACTCAATGATTTTTCTAATTTGGATGCCCTTACCTCGTGAATGAACAAGGTAATGTGTCTAGACTTCAAACAGTTTTGAAAATTGTAGATCAAAGTCAAGCTGTGTCTATTCAAGCTAAAACTATGATGGCATTTTGGACTGCTTTTACCACTACTAAATTTAGTCTCACTCATCAAAACAGTAGATTCTAGATTTAGAGGTGGTCATCGTAGAGAGTAGTCTTATAGACTAAAACTAAAGGTCGTGTAGATTCTAGTAGGCCTACTCACATTTCGTAATTGTAGATTGCTAGATCTATGGCCTTATCCCGGGTCTATGTTTGTGAATACATCATCACTGTCATGTCAAGGATTTTAATCTGGGGTGCTTTGGCTTAGTCTCTAGAAGTAGAAGGGTCTCAAGATCCATGTCACTCCATCACTCCACTCTGTCTCTTCTTGGCTATCTTTGGTTTGGATCTAATCTAGAATCTCTAGAGATATCATCTAGATATAGATATAGATCTAGATCTAGATCTATCTAGATTCTAGTTTTTGTAGAGTTTTTGAGGCATTCGCAACTGATATAGAATCTATATATGGCCGGATAGGGCGGCGCTTTTTCGGTAGTTCCCACCCCGCAATTTTAGGCGCTTTTTCGGTAGTTCCCACCCCGCAATTTTAGGCGCTTTTTCGGTAGTTCCCACCCCGCATTTGTTATTCGCCGGTTTTGGCCCCAAGAGTAGGGGGGTTTCAGGGGGGCAAGGCCCCCCTGACCTAATAAAAACAAAGTGGGGGGTTTCAGGGGGGCATGCCCCCCTGAATTTTACCACAATTTAATGTTTTGCAGTTGTTAGGTTTGACATCTTAGCTTGCCGCGAATCAAACGTATATATAGTATAGATCTAGATGTAGGTCAGGCTCTATCAAATAAAGGGGGTGGGAACTACTGAAAAAGCGCCCAATTTTATTCACGGGTTTGGGCCACAAGAGGGGGGTTTCAGGGGGGCTTGCCCCCCTGACCTAATAAAAATAGGAAGGGGGGTTCAGGGGGGCCCTGAACTTTACCATAATGTAATGTTTTGCAGTTGTTAGGTTTGATATCTTAGCTCACCGCGAATCAAACGTCTAGTCTCTAGATCTAGATGTAGGTCAGGCTCAAATAAGGGGGGTGGGAACTACCGAAAAAGCACCAATAGGGCCACCTCTATTCTCACCCGGGGTGAGAATAGTGCAGGCGAGTCTTTTGGCTATTCTCACCCGGTGCCCGTTCACCGTTACAGCCTAGATTTAGATCTAGGCCAAAAAATTTTGCGTTCACCCTAAACCTAAACCACAGAATTCTACACTGTGATAACAAAAATTGTAGAATTCTGTGCCGTGAACAAACGTTCCTTTACAACTAGCCTACAAAAAGCGTACAATTTTGTCTTTTTTTTGTTTTTGTAAGGCCACCTCTATTCTCGCCGGGATGAGAATAGTGCAGGCTAGTCTTTTGGCTATTCTCACCCGGTGCGCGTTCACTGTTATAGCCTAGATCTAGGCCAACAAATTTTGCGTTCACCCTAAACCACAGAATTCTACACTGTGATAACAGAAAAATTGTAGAATTCTGTGCCGTGAACAAACGTTCCATTACAACTGTAGCCTACTAAATACTAAAAGCGTACAATTTTGTATGTGGGCAGTGGAGAGAGAGAAAGAGACAGAGAGAGGAGTAGCGTGAGAACTTCCGGGCAAAACAAAATGGCGACCCGCGTAGTTCGGCTCGATTCGAACAGTGAAATAGCCATAGCATCTTTGAAGACGATCAAATTAGCTTACTTTTGTGCTATAACGTAATTTTTTCTCGGCTTTTATGAATTTGATCATCCACACCGATAGACAGTATTCCAAAATGAAGAAAAGCAGGTCTTGTTTCGCACCGGGTGAGAATAGCCTACGCTGGCAAGTCTCACCCGGGGTGAGAGGTAGATCGTTTTTCTATTCTCACCCCGGATGAGAATAGCCACTTCCTTTTGTAAAGTGTTTTACGGCGCTCGCAACTGCATAGGTCATATGAGCGCACGGGACACACCTGATATTTTCAGTTGGTAGGAAATTTTGAATTTTGCCCGGGTGGCGGCCGAAGCCTACTCTTATCGATTTTAGACCACCAAGGGATCTTTAACGTGCGCAACTTGCACACGGGCCCTCCGAGATTTTTCGCCCTTGTCCGAGAAGGCTAGGTGTAGATCTTTCCTACCAGAAGATCAGGGGTGTGGCAGAAAGACAGCAGTAAGGAGGAGCCAAGGAGTAGCAGTAGAAAGGCTGCAGAAAGAGTCAGGAGCCCAGAGGAGGGGGCAAAGGAGGTGAGGGGGTGGGGGAAGAAAGTGGAATTGAAAGCAGACAACAGAACATTGCTAGAGAGCGTGAAAGGAGACAATTTTAGAGAAGAGAATTTTTCGGTCGCTACTCGGATTCGAACCCGGGACCTTTGAATGAGAGGCCAACACCTTAACCTCTAGGCCACGAGAGCCCCCCAATTTTGTCTGTGGGCAGTGGACAGAGAGAGAGGAGTAACGCAAGAACTTCCGGTCAAAACAAAATGGCGACCCGCATAATTCGGCTCGATTCGAAAAGTTAAATAGCCGTAGCATCTTTGTAGACAACCAAATTAATTTACTTTTGTGTTTTAACATCATTTTTTAACTTTGTTTTGGTCAATTTGATCGTCCACACCGATAGACAGTATTCAGAAAGAGACGGAGAGAGAGAGGGGGGGGGGAGGAGTAGATCTTGCGAGAACTTCCGGGCAAAACAAAATGGCGACCCGCGTAGTTCGGCTCGATTCGAACAGTGAAATAGCCATAGCATCTTTGAAGACGATCAAATTAGCTTACTTTTGTGCTATAATGTAATTTTTTCTTGGCTTTTATGAATTTGATCATCCACACCGATAGACAGTATTCCAAAATGAGGAAAAGCAGGTCTTGTTTCGCACCGGGCGAGAATAGCCTACGCTGGCAAGTTTCACCCGGGGTGAGAGGTAGATCGTTTTTCTATTCTCACCCCGGATGAGAAAAGCCACTTCCGATATATATAGGCTATAAGCCTTATAATACGAAGTGACTATTTCTCCGATCTTTATTTCTCAGAACGGTTTCCGGCTTCCGGTCTCGTGATTTTTTGCGTATTTATTGCGAGAGTTCGGCGCCAACTTTCATTCTGCTTAACTGGTCTTGGAAGGAACACCGCATGGCAAGCCCGCCTACATACAACCTTCAGTAGCACCCACCACACACCCACCACCATCATGCACTGTATGTACACACACAAACTTATACACACACTAACTAAACATGATCAGTGGGCAACTTTTGAACGTATGACGAGCTGAGTTGTGGATGGAGAGACAGTGTGAGTGACAGAGCGGGTGAAAGGAAGAATTTACGAGTGTATCCACAGGCGACAGCAACTGCAAGACGACGACACCGACCCCCCTGGCCTGGTCCACAGCTCACGAACAAACAAAAAGAATGTGGCTAAGGCAGTGTTTTGCCTATATTGTTGTCCATGGTTGGCAGGATGCAAGGGAATGAGTGAGATTTTCTTTGTGTGTGCCTGGGGGGAGGGGGTGGGGTGTGAAAGTCATAAGGACAGGGATGAGCCGCGGGAGAGAACACGCGAATTGAATGAATGAGTGAAACTGACTGAAAGAGAGGAACGACTCATGAGCACTGGAGTTCATGGATCCTGTGTTTCTATTTTTGTATACTTTGAACTGTTACTATTACTGAATAAAGGCTGAAATAAAGCCCGAAAAACACACACACACTCCTCACTCTCCACTTACACACTTACTACCACAGGCAGACACACTCACACACGCACATGCATAGACACACACACAGGAGCAAATTTTTGGGTCTATATCTATTTCAATTTTCAAGAGCTAGTCTAGAGATTTTTAGATGAGTGTAAAAACGTGAAAAAGAAAGGTTTCACAACAGAATTAAATCAAAATTAGTCGAACGGCCCATAAACAACCACAAAAATTAACAAATAAGGGTGTGTGTCAACCTGTCTGAAGAAAATTGCCTGTTTTAACCCTAAAAGTGCGTACATTTTTTAAAAAAGTACAGGATATTACATGTTAATTATGGAATCACACACATTAAGGGGCCTGCCAGTGTCAGTACATGTAATAATCGGTTTTGGTGGAACGTACGCTCTAACATAAACCATTTAAATCTATATATATATATATATATATACATGTATATTTATTTAGAATCTAATGAAGGTAGGCACATCAAATTAAATGACGTTACCCTATGCAACATCCCCCTCCCCTTCACTTTCCCCAACAAAAAATAAATTGATAGAAAAACAACACATCAGAACAATAACAAGAGAAAAAAATTACACACTAACAAAATAAAACACCACAAAGAGTCAAAGAGGGAAAAATAAAAGTAACTGTAAAGCATTCAACAAATCAATGTGGTGACAACAAGTGAGAAAGAGCCTAAGTGAACTTTCTTTCAAAAGTAAAGAGATTCGGTTTCTTTCTTTTTTTCTTTTAATTTGACTTTTATTCCCTGACCAAAAAATGCCAAAAAATTGAGCCACGATTGATTGGTCACGGCCGCGACAAACGCAGAAGCTATTTCTGTGTCGTTATCAATAACGTATCAGATCAATAATCCTCCGTAGATCTAGATCTAGACAGCACACGAGTGAACACAACACATTAAGTTTAAGAGCAGCACCCTTCATAGGCAACATGTCATATCTGTAGCGAAAAACTGTTTGAAACTAGCATTTCTTTATATAAATATTTACTATATTATAAATAATATAGTGTAAAGCGCATAGAGCCTGCTGTTGAGCGGGAATATGCGCTATACAAATGCTATCTATTATTATTTTTTTATATTTACTACGGACATTTTTTGGACCGATTGAATCATATTGTATACGAACAATCTTTGGTATGCCTATACTGATCCGAAATTTGCGGGAAAGGATGTGATTTCAAAGTGTTCGGAGAAATAGTGCCCAGCTTTATTTTCCCGAACGTTCGGA